AAGCTGTTAACCCACCCTCGGCCCGCTCCCCGGCCTCTCTGGTTCTCACTCTTCCTCTCCACTCACCCTTCCCCTAATCCCTGCCCTCCCCGACACAGCCCTCGGAGGCTCAGGCGGACGGTGATGGAGGTACCTTTCACTCCCGGCAATCTGAGAGGCGGAGAGCTGTCATTTGCCAATTTGGCCTGAATGAGGCGGACAGCGGATTGAATGTCGTTTTCCCACCAGGCTGCACCATCCAGACCAGCAGGGGAGGGAGGGGGATGTAATGCTAGAGTAAAATTAGAGCTTTGATGGCAGCTAATAGTGTGTGATGGGTGGCGCTGACGTGGATTTCCAGTACAGACGCCACAGGTTCCTTGTACCTCAGCCTCTCAGGGTCTGACCCACCTGTAAGATTAGGCCGGCTCTGCCTCCTTTCTCTGAGCTGTGATTTCACCCTGATCAGGGTAATTATACATCTCCAGCTCTAAGCCTGCTTATGTCAAAAAGGGCCGGAGAGGTCCTGTTTCCTTCTTCACACACACTTCAGCTTTCAAAAACACACATCAGCATTTAAATCCAGAGCCAGGTGGAAGAGCTGGGAGGCAGAAATCTTGCCTTAATTTCTATTTATTAACTTCTTTTTTTAAAATACATCAGATAATATTTCTCATTTCACTCTCATTTAAAGAATTTTTTACAACACTTTTCAAAGTTTTGAATAAAATCGTCTGCTCCTCTGACTTGTTTCAGCTTTTTATTCTAAACAATGTCCCAGAATGTTTGAGTTTAAAAAATAGTAATATAGTAATATTAATAATAAAGTACACACAAAGAATTTAGAAAATGGGAAGAATCTTTTATCTGCAGTTTAGTCATTGAGAAGTGTTTCCCTGTGTAAAACCCTATGATAAAAACTACATTTACAGTATTTGTTGAAGAAGAAACAGACATGTTGCATGATCAGTTTTTTTAAATGAKACTGCAACATATTTCTTAAAGATTTGAAAAACTCATAACTAAAGGCTGAAAAAGTGACAAAGCCAACAAAACATCACAATTAGTTGAATTTACGACAAGTCAGAAACATAATTTGATGCTCAAAGAGTGCAGCAAAAAGGCTTAACGTTTCAGAAATCAAAATGAATGAAGAGACCTAATGTTTGGACAAAAAGTGTCATTTAGTAATAATGCAGAACGTGTCGGAGCTATTTGGATATTTCAGCATCTGTTGTGCAGAATGTTCAGGGACTTTGCTGAAATCTCTTTGCACAAAGAACAAGGTTAAAACCCATGAATGGCAGTAATTTTGTTTCAGATGAGTTTGAGTCTGATGTGGACATTTCTGAAATTCAGCATTTCTGAATCCACAAAATAAGAGTTCAAAGACAGACCTGGCATCTAAAACAGCCACCAGCTCTGAATCTGAGCTCATTTCGGATGAAATGAAGCAAAGTGGAACTTTGTCTGACAGCGTTGGCTGCATCAGCTGTACAAAGGAGATTTATTTTGTCTATCYGTGCAGGTTTGTAACAGCAGCCTTCAGGGTTGTGTAAGGGTTCAGCAGTTATGATTTCATCTACACGTATTTTTTCTTGGAAGGTTTTGCTTTTGTTTGCAGCAACCCACTTCGTATTGCAATAGTGTTGTTTTTGTGCTTTTTCCAGCTCACGAATGTGTGCGTTCCCATTTTCATTTCCATTTGACACAGTTTACAGCCTTTCACATCAAACAGCTGCCTTTTATTTGTTCCAACGTGCAAAGCACTTACCTTGAATTCTTTTAAAGTATTTAAACTCACATTGTCAGCAGAGGCAATAAAGTATTACACAAAATCAACTTTCTGAGCTTTATATCATGTTATAATATCATTCCTTTATCAAAAACAGAGTTTTGCTTTGACTCATGTTTGAGAAGTCCTTGAATCTCTTGTGGTAGCCATGAGGAGCTGCCTGAACGTTTGCTGGTACAAAGCACCGCCTATTTACACATAGCTCCTCCCTGGGGCTCAGTCCCCTGACAAGCTCCCGCACCACAGAGCACCCTGTTGTGAGGACGTGCTGAATCGGGATTGTCCGAAATGGTAGGATGTTCTTACTATATCACCATTTGTATCATATTTGCTACGCAGGATTCTGTGACCTACACTCACCGGCCACTTTATTAGGTACACCAKGCTAGTAACRGGTTGGACCCCCTTTTGCCTTCAGAACTGCCTCAATTCTTCGTGGCATAGATTCAACAAGGTGCTGGAAGCATTCCTCAGAGATTTTGGTCCATATTGACATGATGGCATCACACAGTGCCGCAGATTTKTCGGCTGCACATCCATGATGCGAATCTCCCGTTCMACCACATCCCAAAGATGCTCTATTGGATTGAGATCTGGTGACTGTGGAGGCCATTTGAGTACAGTGAACTCATTGTCATGTTCAAGAAACCAGTCTGAGATGATTCCAGCTTTATGACATGGCACATTATCCTGCTGAAAGTAGCCATCAGATGTTGGGTACATTGTGGTCATAAAGGGATGGACATGGTCAGCAACAATACTCAGGTAGGCTGTGGCGTTGCAACGATGCTCAATTGGTACCAAGGGGCCCAAAGAGTGCCAAGAAAAGATTCCCCACACCATGACACCACCACCACCAGCCTGAACCGTTCATACAAGGCAGGATGGATCCATGCTTTCATGTTGTTGACGCCAAATTCTGACCCTACCATCCGAATGTCGCAGCAGAAATCGAGACTCATCAGACCAGGCAACGTTTTTCCAATCTTCTCTTGTCCAATTTCGATGAGCTTGTGCAAATTGTAGCCTCAGTTTCCTGTTCTTAGCTGAAAGGAGTGGCACCCGGTGTGGTCTTCTGCTGCTGAAGCCCATCTGCCTCAAAGTTCGACATGTTGTGCGTTCAGAGATGCTCTTCTCCCTACCTTGGTTGTAACGGGTGGTTATTTGATTCACTGTTGCCTTTCTATCAGCTCGAACCAGTCTGCCCATTCTCCTCTGACCTYTGGCATCAACAAGGCATTTCCGCCCACAGGACTGCCGCTCACTGGATGTTTTTTCTTTTTYGGACCATTCTCTGTAAACCCTAGAGATGGTTGTGCGTGAAAATCCCAGTAGATCAGCAGTTTCTGAAATACTCGGACCAGCCCTTCTGGCACCAACAWCCATGCCACGTTCAAAGGCACTCAAATCACCTTTCTTCCCCATACTGATGCTCGGTTTGAACTGCAGGAGATTGTCTTGACCATGTCTACATGCCTAAATGCACTGAGTTGCCGCCATGTGATTGGCTGATTAGAAATTAAGTGTTAACGAGCAGTTGGACAGGTGTACCTAATAAAGTGGCCGGTGAGTGTATATTCTATCAATATTTTCCTCAAAAACCTGTAGTATATCATTTGAGACCTGTATTCTGCCCTCTGGTGGATTATCAATGTACTGCAGGAAGTGGAACTTTTTTTTTCTTTTCAAAATGTCTGCTGAAGTGAGGTCATCCACACATTTTTTTTTTCAGGAAAACTTTTGCTAATCTTGGAGAAGTTATGGTAAGAATAACATTAATATTGTTTGTAATTTTTAATAAATACTTTCTGTGTTGAAACAATGCATAGTTACTTAAAATATTTTTTTAATAGTACAGTTAAACCGTGTTAAAAACTTGTGTATCAAACTTGATTCTGCAGGTGCTCCAGTCCTGAATTGTCATGTGACATTTTAGTAGTTTAATCAACAGTATTCTTGCCACAATACAACCACACACTATTTTTGGATGATTAATTACTGAAATGCCATTTGAAAACACATTTTGGCTATTTTCAAAGTGGTTTCCTTTGAAATTATAATCTCTACACTGTACTGACTAAATATTTACGTGTTAGATGTCAAAGAAAATTGAGGAAGAAGAGAGAAAAAAGAAAGTAAGAAAATGTCATCAATATGATAATAGATGGCATTTTTTTTATAAAGTAAGGTACRTCTGTGCCTGAACAAGGACAGAAACCGTGTCTAAATATCTCATGAACCCCTGAATGAATTTGAATGAACCTTTCAGGAWTTAATTGTTGTTTTTTCATCTACGTCTGATTAATCTGTGGAAATATTCCAAACTCCACAGCTGATAGACTTTAGTCAACAACATAATGGTTGTAACTCAGCTGATATTGGGCTTAGTCTTATTTTTCCTGGCCTCCCTTAAAAAAGAAATCTGTGACAAGTGAAATGCACTCCTGCAAGGAATGTTAGGTTTTAACATATGAATGTTTTAGGGTTGTCTTCAGGTTTTACAGTAATGAATTTTTTGTTGTTCCACAGAGACTCATTTAAAATCCCCACCAATACTCTGCTCCTCCCCTGCTCTACATAAGGATTTACTGAACACAACGTTTGGACCTGCCTCAGGGAGAACACACACGCAGACATCAGACGTATTAAAGACTTCCCTACAGGCGTCGGCGCTGTGATGTTCTGACATCCAGGCATTACAGGCATCTTAAATRTCCGTATCAATCTGCAGAGCTGTCAGCTCGACAATGACGGAAACAGAACACCATCAGCGGTGTCAGGCGGTATCACTCTCATCGTGTGCAGCGTCGGAGCACGGCTCTCTGCAGGACGTTCCTCTGGTTGTCAGCCAAGCCAGCTGAAACTTTTCATTCTGTCCTGTTGGCATCACATGTATTTATTGTTGACCTTTCTTTAGGCTGAGCTTCCTCCATTTTTATAGTTCCACACAGAAACAGAATATCCCTTTTGAAAATGGATCTGCATTGATTTCATTGTTCTACTTTTTTCTCGTGACTGTGTGTGAGGTGATTGTCTTCTTCCTGCTGCACAGAAAGTATTATACTCTGTCCTCCTGGGACGGAGGATGTTTTGTTTTTTAGCCTCTTTTCACTCCAGCTCTCCCTCTATTTTATTTTAAACACAATAGCCCCTCTCTTCTCTCACCCAGCGTGGCGACCCTTTCAAACGTGTAGCTCCAGGTCAGTTTCCTTGCCAAGTTTTGCAGCCTGCCATGTTGTCTATTCTTCTCAGCTATTTAAAAAATGTTGAATATCAACAATGGCTTTCACTGGTGCATTGTCAACTTTTGTATGAAGCAATCTTGGCTGAATGAGATGGGTCTCAGAGCAGGGAGAGCTCAGCTGCAGCGTGCACCGCCACACCAGTGACTGCCCAGCACTCTCACGCTTCACATTTCTCTGCTGCGCCCAGAGACCCGCTTCGGTTGATGTAGTGCAGCTTGAACGGCCGAGGCTGAAGTCGTCCGGGGGGTGCGGAGACTGGAGGCCTTGGATGTTCTCGCTATCTTTTCTTTTTTTTTTTTTGCTCACAGTCCTGGGCCTGCTGACAGCCAGCTGTTGAAGGTGGGTCCAGCAGAGGGATTGGAAAGCAGCAGCAGCCTTGGGACGAGTGAGAGCTCGGTGAGTGTCCTCAATTTTCTGGTCAGAGTGGGAGGTTCGCAGGAAAGTGAGGAGAGAAATGGGAGGGGGCTTGATCAGGAAGCTTTGTGTTTGCTGAGCTCTGCTCTGTTCACATGCACATAGTTGCACAAGGAGATAACTTTAGTTTTTATGCGGCACCTGTTGAAACTCAAACCAAATAAATTCTTGCTTTTATATATTTTTTAATTTTTTTCACTTATATTGTCAAAAATATTCTGACGTTTCAATTACATCCAAAATCCCTCCACTTCTTAAGGTTTGTCCCGTCTCATATCCACACTGGATGCATCAGTGACTTCATGCAGCGCTGCGTATCTGTGCATGAAGAAAAGGATGAAAGCAGGAATGAGAGCTTGCTTCCAGATAATAGTAGCTTAGGCTCTTTGTCCTGCTGTCAGCCAGGAGAGCAGCAAGGCTGGAAATCTCTCCAATGCACCGCCGACGTCTTGTATGTTTCATTGACATATCAGTCTGTGGGGCAATGAGCCGTTGCTTCTGCACCCCTCGGCACACTCCGGCTCTGGATTTTGTGGATGTGTTTGGTGCATGTGTGTGTCCACACAAATAGGCAAAGGAGGGTCATAAAAAGCAAAAATTAGAAGAGTGTAAATAAAAGTTTTAAATGGACAAAGAGCAGAGAAATGTCATTTAGTTCAGCATATATTAGAGAATTTATGTTGTTTATAGGATATTTTTATGTAGGCAGCAACAAGAAGGAGAAAACGCATTTTAAAATGACAAAAACAACCTTGTGAATATTTTAAAAAAGAGGAAAAAAACATTTTTGCATGAGAGCTGTAATGATTTTAATAAAAGACACTTTCTGATGTTTACTCTTTTTGCAAATAAAAGTAATTTTCAGACTTTTCAAAATATACGAAACTGCTTCTTTCCCCCCCAAAATAAAATAAAAACAGAGCTATTAAAATCCAAACRCCCCAGCTTTTTCTCAGGAGCTGTGTTGTCCTCCGTCTCACCTCCCTGAGCTCAACCGAAAGCAGCAAGGTGACCAAATTCATCTCAGGCCAGCCCATCCATTATCTTGTCAACACAGCCAGCTTTCCACCTTACTGTGCTCTTCTCCCCGTGGACTGGCTTTAATGAAACGTGCAATAATCACCACACTTATCTCGTCATGCTCAAGGTAATTAATATATTTAGAGGGCGATGGCTAACTCTTAATTAAATTAAGCCCCTTTTAATGAGACCTTGACTGGGACTAAATTTATGGCCACTATCTGCTTTATCAAGTGCTTGGCACGCAACAGAGATTAGTCATTTTTGTCCCAAATCACAGCCAGATTGCACATTATGTTACTCGTGATTTATATATCAATTTATGCTTGTTTGTTTCTAATTTAGGATTTAATAAATTACCTCCTATAATTACCCTAACCTAGTTTTTCCCCCTTCTTCTTTAAAGCCCCCCCTTACAGTTTCTGCAATTAAAGCCCACTGCTGCACTGCTGTTACATATTCATTTGGAGGAGAATACAGATAACAACTTGGCGGCATTAATCATATTACAAAATTGGCTGTGTTTAATTAATTACAGTTACACTGCAAATTAATTGTGGATTTTCACAATATTATCTTAAACTAATGAAGGTTTGACAAAAAGATGGTTTCTTTCTTTCTCGTTTTTTTTTAAATGCAGCTAGATTAGGGGGGATCTTAATTATGACTAAAACAAAAGAGAGATGCTTGCATGGCGTGGAGCAAAAAAAAAAAAAAAACGTGACAATTCAGCACTTTCTTCCAAACCAAAAAAAAGGGAAGAAAAAAAGAAAAAACAAGAAAGTTTCCATTGTTTTTGAAGGGAAAAAAATGAACATGGCAATGATTCAGACGATACACGAGGAATAATGAGCGCTGTAATTAGCTGGATGGGCAATAGCAACGCTCAAATGCGATCATCAAATAAAGAGGGGCTGATAATGCCATTCACATGTGGCAGTTTTAAAAGCACCACTAACTTAAACACCTGAACTGACAAGCACCTGCTGCTGGACTTGTCTCTTTTTGTTGTGCACTTCACTGCAGGTATTATTTATAGTGCATCTTATAATTGTGACAAAAAAAACAAAACAAAACAGCAAACGAGCTCTAACGCGATGAATGACGAGTGCCCAGATTAGACTCTCATAAGCTTTAAAACGACTCACTACAGTCCCAGCCAGTGGTTTAGAAGCTAAAAGCACATTTATTTTTGGAAATTTTCTGCCTAATTTAGCTTTAATCGAAATTAGCTTTCAATAGATTTGAGCTTACAATCCAGTCATTTTATTTTCTCATTTAACGCACCATATAGCAAATGTCTGAATATGTTTCCTCTGATCTGCTCAGTAAAGAGCCTAAAAGAATGACATCAAATGCTCAGTGATCACATTAAATACTGTTTCCCCTCCTATTCCCTCCTCTGTGATATCATTTCATTTGCTTCTAGCATCATTAGCCAATAATCACAAGAACAAAAAAAAAAGATGCTTTTTGTCAATTATGGGAAGTGAAGGGTCAGTGAGGATGAGTTTTCACACTGCTGCACATGATTATCTAAAGTGGCCTTGGAGCAGCGAATTAACCCATGCCGTGTGTGTGTGTGCATGAGCGCAATCAAATATGTTTGAAATCCCGAAGAAAAAAAAAACAAAATGATAAGCAGCTTTGAGCCAAAGGTGATGAGGTGAGAAACTATTCCCCTGGCTGAGTGAGACGGAGCGCAGCGTTGGGTGGTCACGCCTTGTCTGCTCATGACAGTGGCGGGTTAAAGAGATTACACCGGGGTCTGTGTCAGCAGCCTTGGCCTCGCACACAAGAACATAATGAGGAAGGACATGCTTGGCTGCTGGAAAAATAAAAGAGGCCTGAAGTCTGAAGCAGCTAACACACTTTTTCCTCTCTCTCTCTCTGCGTTGTTTCAGAAGAAGTCGATAAGTAAGACATTCCTCTGAGTGAGCGTTGGTGAGGGCCATAACACTTGTGAACCACAATCAAAGCACATATAACTCCCTCAGGAGGAAGAAGCTGTGCTCTCCATTAGTCCTGAAGGAAAAGATGTGTGCCGCTTCTGAAAGGAGACAGGAAACAAATCAATGCGTCGCTCCTCTGAGTGTCTGTCTTCTTGTGTTAAAGGTTTGAGCGGCAGTCTTTCCTGTGAATGGATGAACTTTTCACTTCCGACTGGACCCAGAGCTGGGAATGATTACGTGCATCCATCCAAATATGTAAGTTTACCAATCTGCTTGCAGTTTGGGGGCTTTTCAGAGACTTTTAATGAGAAATCCAACATAACTTTTCTGAAAAACCTCTCGAACTTTTTTTAARCATCTGGATTACAAAATAACTGCAGCAGAGACCACAACAAACTGATGCAGAAACATCATCAAGGACCAATAAAACAAGATTAAACTATCACAAAATAATGTATTTAAATGTTTATTTTGCCTTTTTTTAATTTAATTTCCGGTCAAAGTTCCATCTCTCAAATAGCAAAATATGTACTTTTCAACAATAAATAGAAT